GGCTCACAGGCCGTCATCCCTCACCAGCTTTGATTACATCTTTGCTCAAATGGAATAAACATCTGGAACTTATTACCACTGAATTGAGCCATGTTGTCTGTGAGAGATATATTTTGACGTTGACTTGACATTGCCTTGTCTGCCCATGTTTGGGTTTTTTTTGTTTGAGATGAAAACCTGGCAAAATTGATAAGTCATGCTCAATTTTTGTATTTTTACCCATAGGCTTGTCGAGATAAACAATAACTCAATTATCCTGATACATGCTCAATAATCCAGGTAGAAAAATCCAAAAAAAGTTCAATCTGGTCCTCTGGACATTCAAAAAACAAGAAAACAAACAACAACAAAAAAACAAAGCAAAAAAAATGTAGAAACTGTCCCCCTCTTACAACGCTGTGATTGCTAGTATCACTCAACCCTCTGTGAATAGTAAACAGCCATCAGTGTGCTAATGATCCATTGTTAGTCTGATGGTCCTTCTTGACCATGTGAGCAGCTGGTTTTGGTTGTCAGCAGCAAACTGGTTGATCCACTCTGAGAAGGTGCTATTTAAGAGACTGAGCTGAATACAGCACCTCAGACTGAGGAAGTCTCTCAGATGAGAGACGAAATGTTTCTACTTTTTTTTTTCTTTTTTTTTTTTGTTTTTTTGTTTGTTGCCAAAGTGTCCCTGGGCAAGACACTGAACCCCCACATTGCCTCCGATGTGTGTTTCATCAGTGTATGAATGTGATAAAGCACTGATTATTCTTTGTACAGAAATAGTAGAGTGCTGTATGAATGGGTAAATGAGGGCACAGATTGTATTTTAAGGCGCTTTGAGTATCTTGAAAAGATAGAAAAGCGCTATATAAGTGCAGTCCATTTACCATTAACCATTTACGTATAGAAGATATGTAGCATCTTACTGCAAATACTGAAGGACTTCAGCTTCCTCAAGAAGTACAGTCTGCTCTGTCCCTTCTTGTAGACAGATTCACTGTTGCATCTCCAGTCCAGTCTGTTGTCCAGGTGAACCCCAAGGTATTTATATGTCTTCACCACCTCCACTTCTTCTCCCATGATGGAAATAGACTTGGACCTGTTCCTGTTTCTCCTGAAATCTACAATCATCTCCTTTGTTTTGTCCACATTCAAGATGAGATTATTGTTTCCACATCATGTCACAAAGCGGTCCACCAGTTCCCTGTACTCAGCTTCTTGCCCATCTCTGACACACCCAACCACTGCAGTCATCTGAATATTTCAGCAGATGACGGGAGTCTGTTTCATACTGGAAATCTGAGGTGTACAGAGTGAAAAGGAATGGTGAGAGTACAGTCCCCTGTGGTGCTCCTGAGCTACTGACTACCTGGTTAGACACACAGCCCTTCAGTCTCACAAACTGTGGTCTGTTTGCCAGGTGATTGTTGAGGCCTCCACCTGAGTCTTCTGGAGTTTCTGACAAAACAAATCAGGCTGGATTGTGTTAAATGCACTGGAGAAATCAAAGAACACGACTCTCACAGTGCTGTCTGCCTTTTATAGATGACAGTGAGTTTGCTAAAGCAGGTGTATGATGGCATCTTCAACTCCAAGTCCATGCCGATAAGCAAACTGCAGTGGGTCCTGATATGTGCTTGTTTGTTTAGTCAGGTGGGCCAACATAATTCTCTCTAGGACCTTCATGATGTGGGATGTCAGGGCAACAGGTCATTGAGGACTGATGGGTGAGGTTTATTTCAGAGTCAGAGTCAGAGATTCTTTATTGTCATTCGCACCTCATGTGGTACATGTGGTGGAGTGAAATTATGTACACAGGGTCCCAGTTACATCCAACAATAAAATTTAAAAGAAAAACAATGATAACATCCAAGA